AGTTTAGGGCATAAGCGTGCACACCCCTGGACTGTTGCAGGAAGAAAACTTGATATTCCTGAAGTGTGTGTTGACTTACCTTACGGAGTATCATAAATTTAATAGAATTGTCTTCTCTAGTATTCCACCTCTCTGTTCTGTGTCAGGGGTGAATGAGTACACAAAGCTGTATGATTCCGTGAAGAAGAATGAGATTTAAATAGAAAGCACTGTGAACAGAAAAAACGCTGTTGATCTGCAGCGCGCGTCCTTGTTAAGGTCTGCCTGCTGGTCAGGGTACCATGTATCAGCAAGGATGTGCGAGCGGAGGTTGGAGGAGATGGTGCAGGAGGAGCCGTAGAATTTTCTGATAGGGTAGTTGATATTGGACAGATAGGGCCGGAGTCTTAAGGACTGGGTTATACTTTTCATTTCTTTGATTCGTTCCCATAATTTTCTGATAGGGTAGTTGATATTGGATAGATAGGGTTGGAGTCCTAAGAATTGGGCTATACCTTTCATTTCTTTGATTCATTCCCACCCCCTCCAACTTCCCTCTTAATATGAAGGAGATCACCAGAATTTGCCTCTCAGTGAGCATAATGAACCATCAGATGTATTTTAATGGCGCTCTTGGGCTCTAGGTGAAGATTAGGAATTAATTACCTAGTATTTGGTGACAGTAGAAAAATTAACAAGATAGAGATGTTTTCGTTGTTGTCTTTTTCTCTTGGAATTTGAAAGCTTCCTTAAATGCTGTTCTTTCTACTGCTGCCCTCCTCTGCGGGTTTAGATAGACTTATTAGAGGCAGACAGACAGGCTGCCACAGTGCCCTACATTTAAAAACTGATGTGGTTTGATTTTTCTTGGAACATGGGACTTGGTTATAAATCTGTTGCATATTTGCAAGCACAAGCTGGCAGTTTTGACTAGTGTTGAAAATTAGGGCAGTTTCCTTAACTTAAACCTTTGCCAAAAATAGTTTACATTTTCCTTTGAATAAAGAAAAATGTATTTGTCTCTATTTAAGGACTAAAAACAAATCAAATGCCACAAAGCTTGCTTTACTGAAGGGGACGACTCTGGTTTGTGAGAGCCAGTTCACAGTTGCTGCCATTAAACTTTCCCTGAGATAGTATCGGTGAGAGTAAAATTTGTAAATTTTGCTGTGCCGGCTAAGTCCTTGAGATCATATAGGAGAAGTAATTTCAGCTTTTTCAAAGCAAAACACCTTGATAGCAGGAAGTTGACAAGTTGGTAGAAACAGCGGGGGTCCATTTCTTGCATTTGGTGTAATCATTGTGAAAAAGGGGATCCGGTTGCCCTCAGACCTCAGGCAGATAATTGAAGGATAAAGTCCAGTCCAGGTTCCTCAGCTGGAGAATAGGGTAATGACCTGCCTTGTTGCCCTCACAGAGTTTTTCAGACTATTGAGTAAATAGATATGAGTAGTATTGGGAGACCTTTCATCATTAAATGTCATGTAAGTGTATTAGTGTTTACATACCTGTTGCTGTTGAGTCAATTTTGACTCATAGCGACCCTATAGGACAGAGTAGAACCGCCCCGTAGGATTTCCAAGGAGCAGCCTGAGCTCTTAACCACTGCGCCACCAGGGCTGCATAAGTAAGGCATCCATGGACCCTTCATCTCTGCCTTCTAGCATTTTGTAATCCTGCGTGCGACACCTTGACAATGTAGATAGTAGGACAAAAGAGTAAAGTTTATAAATGAATGTTAAAAGTGTGTGCATTTAACACTAACCAAGTCGTTTAACAGGGTACTTTAAGAATGGATGATACAAGGGGGAAAAAGTTCCTATGAATATGAAGTTAAAAATAGATCAGCTTTCCGTACAGGCTGGGTGTTTCAGTGACGAGGCATGCCAAGTCTAGGGCTGGGTAGAAGAAACTGGTCATATCGTTCAACTGTAATGAGCGGAATGTAGGAAGCAGCACTTAAGAAATGTTAAACGAGTTCCTGTCATGCGACCCCATGTGTGTCAGAGTACAGCTGTGCTCTGTAAGGTTTTCAGTGACTGATTTTTTTGAAGTAGAACACCAGACCTTTTTTTCCCAGGTGCCTCTGGATGGACTCGAAGCTCCACCCTTTGGTTTAGCAGCTGAGGGTCTTAACTGTTGGCATCACCCAGGGGCCCATAAGAAATGTTACATAGGTTAAAATAGGACGTTATAATTGATGGATAGCCTCAAACTTGAGTGAAGGCCTTTTCCCCTATGCTGACGTCCCTAGCACAGTGCAGCTGGGTCACTACGGCGGGTGTCCTCTCCACCTGCTCAGTCAGCAACATGAAGGGGTCCGTGTGTTGTAGCAAAGAGATACCAGATGAGGCCTGTGGGCCATGCAGTTAGGGGCTCCCTCATGGGGTGGGGGTGCAGGCTAAACTTGTAGCCCACCCTGAGGAGGAGGGAGTCATTAAGTTATCCTCTGTCGGGCAGTGTTGAGGAAATCACAGTTTTTTACCTTTTTATAACTCTGCGTGGCCTGTTTTGGTTGACGCTAACAGGCCTGTTAAACTTCAGTACATTCGATCCCAAATGTAGTTTTTCACCTCAGGTTATTGCACTGGCCATTTTGATTACTTTACCTCGAAGATGGCCTGTCTCAGCAAGTAGGTTATTATTTCTGTTAGTTTCAAATGTAAAATTTGCTTTTTTTAAAAAAAGTTTTAAAATCATTAGGGAAGTACATTACTTTTAGCACCCCCACGCCTCGTCCCTACCCGTATTGGCCGTGCATTTTGACAGTTAGGATTGGGCCTAAATTGAGTCAAGTTTGAGGCAGTGCTCTGTGTGCTCCGCATTTTATTTTTAACCTGGCTTATTCTAGAAAGGAGGTAAGGCAGCTTCACACATTGGGTCGTAAGTAATCTCAGAAACAGCTCCCAGGGAAATACGGCCATCAGATGAGGGAGGAGGCAAGACAGTGTATTTCTTACAGTTCATTGTCTTATTTCTTAGAAAGGAGAGAGGCAGAAGTCTTAGACAGTTTTCTGATTTAAGTTTAAAATTACCTGATTTGGGGAAATAAAAAAACCTAACCCATTGCCGTTGGGCCGATTCCGACTCATAGCGACCCTATACGACAGAGTAGAACTACCCCATAGGGTTTCCAAGGAGCAGCTGGTGGATTCAAACTGCTGACCTTAACCACCGTGCCACCATGGCTCCAAAACACCCTAGTAATATCTAACTCTGCATATCTCTGGGATGTACATTCTATAAATATCAAATAACTTCTTAGATAATTTTGCATGCCATATAGAAAAAGAACAGTTTTTTTTTTTCCCCCCCAGGATTATAGGTTACCTATCTGTGAGTAAACCCTGATGGCGTAGTTAAGAGCTATGGCTGCCAACTGAAAGGTTGGCGGTTCAGATCCACCAGGCGCTCCTTGGAAACCCTATGGGGCAGTTCTGCTCTGTCCTGTAGGGTTGCTAGGAGTCGGAACTGACTTGACGGCAGTGGGTTTGGTTTTTTTGGGTTTATCCGTGAGTACCGAAATAGTGCCAGATTGTTCTCCAGGGCTATGTGGGGTTGTTAGAGAAGGTGCCATAAGTGGATGTGGCAGTTGAGGTCAGTTGAGGCTAGGCATGCTGGCAGAGGCAGTGGACCCTGCCAGTTCTTGAAGCATACTTCGGAATGGTAGCTGGGAAATAGCTGAAAGAGCGGGAAGGCAGAGTTCCCCGTCACATGGACCAACGGGGGAGAGCCCCACCTCGCTCAGAAGCTGAGTTGTGAACTGAGCTGCAGATCTGGGAGAGGATGCCCTCAACGCCTGTCAGCATTACTTTTGAAGACTGGGCGGCTAGTCCACGTGGGAGGTAGTGTCTGCAGGGAGGTGAATCTTCCAGTGAGATTCTTGGACCGTGGCTCTTACTTGTCCTGGTTTAATGTGTATTAAGTTGTCACATAGTGCCTGCGGGTAATCTGCTAGGCCATTGCTGGTCTCCATTCTACCATCACCACACATAAATGAGACGAGATTGTAATGCGGTGTCAGTTTCCTGGAGTTACTTTGTCCAGGTTGTAACTTGAGTTCTTGCATTCGCTCTCTAGAACAAAGTGGGTGGCTTTCCTGAGGTTCGAAGTTTTCAAGTTCACAGCTCTGTCCTCGTAAGACTGTAAGAGAGGCAGGTTCTTGGAAAACTATCAGATGGGCTTTCTGTTTTTACCCGGATTGCAGCAGAGCGTTTTCCATGATGTCCCTAAGTGGTTTGTGCTCAGGTGGCTCTCTGGTATGGTCTGAGAATGACCAGCGGGGCGTTGCAAAGAGTGGCTGACACATTACAGGCTGACGGTAATTAAACGCAACACTCCTCATTTGGGGGAGAGAAGACATCCCATTTGTTTGACATACCTAGTGGCATAAATGGATTAAAAATGTTTAGGTCCTAGGTCAGGAATTATAAAGTAGCTGTTACTCCCATTTGCTTCCCCTTTTTTCTAAATAGTTATTCTTGAATCTCCTACATTAAGATTGCAAGTAAGCTTCAAAGAAGATCTCCCTATAACGCCTGTCAAATCAAGGCATGGATAATAGGAGTTCACTGAGGGGCCAAAACAGCTATTCTTCATTTTTGACAAGGAGAAGGAATATCCAAGGTTTTTGGGTGGGTTTTTTGTTGTTTTTGCATCATTTTTTTCCCCCATGTAGAATGTTAAGAAAGAAAAGGGTGGCTAATGTGATATATTGAAGAAAATGTTTAAGTTGCTTGGATTGAGAAATGATATGTAAATTAAACCCATGAAAGAAAGAGGGAATTCATGCTTAATCAAAACTCATTTGTTCTGATAATTGTCTTGTTTATTAAGTATGGTGCATTGGTGTTACAAGCCATATTGTTCCATTGGAGAGCACGAGACTATTTCATCACCACTGTTAGTCTGAGAGAAGTGTAGAAGAGACATAACTTGTTGGAAACTTCACCCATTCTGTTCTGCTGATGATTGTGCAAAGCTTTGGCGCCAATTCATTTTTCTCTTCTCTGTTGTTTCAGGGTCGACATGTTAAAACCGGTCAGCTGGCGGCCATCAAAGTTATGGATGTTACTGAGGTAAGGTTGGGTCGCAAGGGTTTTTAAATAAATTGTTAGATACAAAACAAGGAGCCTCTCTCCCCCTCTGTGCATGCTCTCACACACACGCAAGAGTATTGTTCTGTGTGGAAAAGCCTGATTAGAAGCAAATTGCCCTCCTGTGATATTGTAGTTCATAAGGTCCAAGAGACTGGTTGACTTAAATTGTTGCAGATGGTCCCAAGTAACTAAGAATCAGTAGCGTTTCCTTTTAAAAGACACATCTGAGTGATGTCATCCTTGGCAGCATAATGGACCATAATTGGAAACATCATCTCTAATGGAAAAGAATTGAGTAGGGACCATAAAGGTCACGTGAATTGGGAGATAGAGGGGTATGGGGTGGGGGAAAAGCGTCTCCGGGGTATTAGGCCACATTTGTGCCATTTCTTTTATTTTTGACATGGGGAAAGAAAACAGATCCAGCGAAGTTCCCAGAGGTTTGAAAACAGAAACATCTGCTAAAATGCTGAGCAGATTGTTGGCAAAATTTAGTAGCAAAAAATAGTTCTTGAAATGGTTGCATGAGGATTTACTGTGCAGCTTTTAGATGGGAAAGAGGAGTAATTAACCCAGACAGAAAGTGCTTGTGTGTCTGTGTGTGTGCGTGTACATATAGGCATGAGTCCATATTTATTTTTAAATTGCCATAGATTTACAATGAACTAAATCCATCGTACTTTACATTATTTTTATTGGAAGTTTTACTTCATGCTCTCATGATTGCTTCTAACTTGCCTAATTATGAAAAGGGTTCAACATCATATTTCTCACGGATTCTAGAAACAGCCAGCAGCCTTGGAAATGAGGTTACCTTTTAAATCAAACCATCATTTTCCCAAATCTGGAGGCTTTGGAGGGAGGTAATGGCTATACCTGTCTCAGGTATACCATTGAGTAACGGAGCAAGGTCTCTTCCTCTGCATTGTTCTCTTCTTTGTCTCTAATAATATGATCACCTCCAGTTTGCAGGCTCAGTTCTATAATGTCCTTTTCTTCCTTGATACTTGTTAGTAAGACTCAGAAAACATTGTAGTCTGTAGACTACAGGACCACTGGTGGAGCTTTATACAAATATTTGAGGGTGTAACATTTCATACAAATATTTGAAGATGTGACATTTTATGAGGTGACTGCTCTTTTTTCTCTGTCCAAGAGGATAGTGGAGACTTTGTAATGAAAAAAGACCATCGTTTGGTTGAATGGCCAAAAGATTCTTGTAACATGCTTTGATATGGACTGTTCTCGTGCACCATAGTGATCCTATCTTAGGTGTGCAACTGGATGCTTTCCAGTTAATTATTATTTTTAAGATTATTTTAAAGAATGATGAAGGAGCAGCAAATTTTAATTTACTGTAGCTAATTTTTTTATCTGACTGTAATTTAAATAAAATAGTTGCGTTTAGTTATTTATGATGTGTTGTCTCCATCAAAGGAATGATTGACATCTTCATACCAAACTCTCTTTTCCTGCCGTTGTGTGTGTTGCCAGCGCCTTGTTGAGAAACGGTGCCGCTGGAGCCTGCGTTCTTTGCCCATTTATTAACAGTACTTCCTGATTTGTTTCTGTCACACTCGACGTAGAAATTTTTGTAATTTTATGAAACATTTGGAAGTCCTGAGAAGTCAGTTTCGTTCCTCATGCTGTCCTGCAGCGTATGCTTGTCCTTGCTGGCCCCACTGTTGGTGGTCAGCCAGGGTATGTTTCCTTCTGCATCTCTAATGGAGTCTAAATGGGATTTGTCTTCTCTGTAGAAGTCTTCTTCCTGTAAGCCTGGCTCTGATTATAAATGTGCAATACATGATCCCTACAAAAGTGTAGAATATAGGAAATTATAGAGAAAAAGTAAAAGCCTCATACTTCACCACCTTATACCAACCACTGTGGATGCTTTGGTGTATTTCCTTTCTGTCATCTCTGTGTGAGCATCCCTGTAAAACACACACACACACTTTATGTGTAATAGATGCTTTTGTATTCCACTTTTGTTCAGTTGTATACAAGAGTTATTTCCTTCCCTGAAAACTTAGGCAGTGTTGGACAAATGCATGATAAAAAATATTTGCAGGAGTGCTTTCAAAATAATTATGCAAAATTCATGTATTCAGGTAAAATGAAAACCAGATGGCGAGTCTTTAGAACCAACACAAACCCAGTCATCCGTTTACATAGTGGCCCCACAGTAATGTCTCTTGTGCCATTTTCATGCAGTGACCTCGGCCACAGCCAAAGGCAGAGTCGGGACCCAGAGCAAGTGTAGATTATGGATAGAAAACCTGGTACAGTTGGGCCCTGGAAAACATGCCTCCCCTCCTTATCAGGGACTTCTCAGCTCTTACAACCTCCTAGGCGTTGGTTGATGTATGACCTGGGAGCAGGCTGGCGGAAGGGAGATTTTGCAGCAGGGGAGAGGCTGTTGGGAAGGGTTCTGTTGTTGAGAGCTGGATTCTGCATGGTTTCTTCACTCAGTTTGGTCTCAGGAGCAAAAAGTGCGAATGCTTATTCTTGGGTGGAAATCTCAGGCTTTCTTGACTCTTGAGCCTGCTTTTTAGCTGCAGTCGAGAGGCAATTACCAGGCTACTAGTTATTCCTCAGGCTACAGGACGAGCAGCAGGTGTGGGAGGTGGCTGGCGTGGCTGCTCTTCTCTCCCAGCTGTGAGCCGTCGGCAGCCCTGAGTGAGTCCTGCCCTAGAGCTGGGCTGCACGGAACGCAGAAAATGGGGGCCCGCTTCACCTGCTTCACTTGACTGTATGAACCTGGAAGACAAAACCAACTGAGAATTCAAATTTCGCTGTGGGGTGAGTCGACAGGGACTGCACAGGAGACTAATGCGAGACATGTAAAAATCTGTCTGTAGTTCTTCTCAGACTAACAATTTATAAAAATTGACCATCCTTAGGATTTTGAAGGCTCTTTTGAAAGAAAGCGTGTAATTTATCTGATTGGTTTTGGGAAGGGTTAAGCAGCAGCTAAGGATATATGTTCAAACTGAATGATACCAGGTCATCAGATCGATCAGTCCGTCTATCCATCTTGAAATAATTACAGGTTCAAAGGAAGTTGCAAACGTATGTATAGGGAGATCCTGTGACCCTTTCCCCAGTTTCCCGAGTGGTGACATCTTGCCTAACTATAGTTCAGTATCCCAACCTGGACATTGACATTGGTGCAGATCTGCAGAGCTTTCTCAGATTTTACCAGTTTAACAAGGACTCATTTGTATGTGTGTGGAGTGTGTTTTGAGGGAGACTTGAATCGGTAGTTTGAATTCCTGACAGCCCCTTTCAGTTCAGTCCTTGTGTCTTCACGTCAAACTTACGTTATCGCTTTTGTACATTAAGGGGCTGATTGGTTTTTGCAGTTTGGGGGCTAACACTTTGAGTTAACACTCTGGAAGGTACAAAGGTAATTAAGCAAGACCAGTGATTCTCAGCTTGAGGTCCATAGACTTTTTGAGTAAGGTTAGCCTCTGAGAACTAAGTTTTATGTTTTCAGTTCAATCATTTCCCCCCACCCTTTTATTTTGAAAGTGTGCGTACTTAAAGAACTGCTGACAGAATGAAGATTCTCTCCTCTTTGCTTAGATTCAACAATTGTGAACCTTTTGCTTGTGTGCATTGTTGTTGGAAGTAATTTACAGGTCCCACCATGACACTGTGCCTGTAAATCCTTCAGCATGCTTCTCTTAAGAATAAATACATACTGTATTTTTGGCGCAAATAATGCGCAACTTCTATGTTTGTTTGCCAACTGCACCCTCCCCCTGCAAGGTATTTTCATAAGCACCAGTATACCAATTTTTTTTACATGATTCTGTGAAAAAAAATTAGCATAGTGCCCTTACAAAACTACCTTGCAGGGGAGGGAGGAGTTGGCAAACAGACGTAGAAGGCGTGCGTTATTTGAATAAAAATACGGTAACCGAAATTCCACCTAAGAGAATAATTCCAGAATGTCACATAAACTAAATGGTCAGTTTATATTCAGATATGTTCATTTGTCCCAAGAATGTTTTTGTAACTATTTTTTTGAGTCATATATTTATTTTTTAAAGAAATTGACTTTTGGAGGAGTCCAACCAATTGTTTAATAAAATGTTCCACAATCTAGATTCGTCTGATAGCTTCTTCATGTTATGCTCTAACTCTTACATCTTCCTCCTGTATTTCCTTTAAACTGGAAATAACGGTTGAGAAACTGATCAGACACTGATTAAATATTTTTGATAACACTGCCTCATTGCTGGTGTTTGACACTTGGTGTTGCATCGCATCAGAGGCAATGTCAATTCTGGTTGTCCCGTTAGAGTAAAGCCAGGTCTGATGGTCTGATGAACGCGGTGACTGCTAGGGTATGGCACCGTCAAGGTACATCATTAGCGTTCCAAGTGGTCAGTAATCTCTAGGGTGATACTTGACACTGTGTGAAATACTCTGTTTGCCGGCAACCTTTCAGCTAATGTTCTTGGCACTCATTTGATGATGCTTGTGCGAGTTCTTATTTTGGAGGTTGCAAAGTGGTGATTTACAAATTCTGTCATTCCTTCTGTCTTTATTAGTCAGCCTCAGTGTGTAAAGGTATTTCCTTTCTCGCCTAACCATGGCTCTCATCTTGTTTTCTCTTTCTCTGAGTACAACTATAGACATGAGTGGTTCTATTTATTCATTTTTTAAAACCATTTATAGTGGCTATCATCATCATCGTCACCATCATCAGATCAAATTGTATCACATCGATCGTTGGGAGCCCTTTCAAACTGGCTTCTGTATTCCTTTGATGTGACCCCTAGTAGGTTTGAGTACTTCCATGTTTTCTGGCACATCTCCATGTTTGAAGCTAACCTGTCAGAACTTGGAATCTATTCTTCCAAGGAGCCTTAGTTCCTTTTGGTGGTGAATGTATTTAGAAACCAGTATCTGGACACTGGAGCCCTGGTGGTACAGTGGTTAAGAGCTCTGCTGCTAACCAGAAGGTC